CAGGCACATCCATACGAAAATAGCCGGCGCGATAAATTCCCACCGTCCCTCTTCCCCGATCTAATATCATAATTAAAAAACAGTTGGGGGTAGATTTTAAACTTTTATGTCGTTTCTGGGTTGCTAAACATATATTAAGTTTAGATTCTTCTCTTTCTCTCCAGGGGGGTGGTGGCTGAGAAATAAAATCAATCTTAATATACACAGAATAGATATTGGTTTGTCTTGTACATGCTGTTAGAAGAAAGGGAAAGAAATCTGCAGATAGTTAATACAGAGAAGGCAAACTCATCATACATGTAATGAATCCTTTAAATCATTCAATTATCACAGCACTAATATCAAATAATTATGGTTAAATGTACCAGTAATCAACCTTGTCCCTGTTGAAATATTAATTTACAGGATTGTGAATGACTTTCTTCTTCCCTTTATTTTTTTTCTCTTCCTTTATCCTTTTATATAAACTTGTTCATTACGGGTTTTTTTTTCCCCCCCCAGCCTGGTGCATTCAGCGTAAAAGGATGACGAAAATACCCCACACAACATCACTTTGAACCAAATCAACAACTCTTCCGCCTTTTCCACACTTAAAACAGAGCATCTTTAACAACAGCGGACCCAACAAAGCGAGATGTTTTCAAGCCGATGCGTAAAAAACACGTATTAATTCATCACATGTGATTTTATTCTCGTTCGGGTTCTCGCATCCAGACCCAGCTCCCGTCCCAAGGAGCGGGGACACCGCTATTTTTTTGCCATCGAAACGCGCTCCTCGTCCAGAAACTTTGCCCTCAGGCACAGGGGAAAACACCGAAATATCACAATCCACCAGCCAAAAAAAAAAGAGAAAAAAAAACCACCCGAAATTCACCATTCCCTCCAGATCTCAACCTGCCACTGCGCTCAGCCAGAAAACTCCAAATATTCAGAATTCAGGGTTTTATTTCTCCACGCCAACCTGCGCCTTTCCGGACCAACACCAGGCACACTCGGGATTTTTGGAGGGATCGCCACACGCAAAATCTCACGCTCAACCCCGTGGACGCGGCTCTCATGATGCCCTTTTTTTTTTCTTTTCCCCTCTGCCATTTACCTTTTCCCTCTTGCCATTCCCAAACACCCCCGAACACCCCGCATCCCGCGCGGGACCCCCGCGCTCTTCACGCGTGATATTTGCTTGCTTTGGGAATTTTCCCTTATTCCCCTCCTCCCCTTTTTGGCATCCAAAACGCTGATATACAACTTTCCCAACTTTTCCAGCGCGTTTTAGGGGAGGAAAAGGGGGTAAAATAATCCTTTTTTTTTTTTTTTTTTTTTTTTAAATTTAGGACAGACATCGCTCGTGTAACACAAGGCGCCTGATTTTCTCCACCAACAGTTGCTGGGTTTTTGGTTTTTTTTTTCCACGTGTGTCCTTCCTAGAGAGTAATTCATAATCCGGGCTGAACCAGCCGCCACAGAGGAACCGTGTTCTTGGGAGCGAAACTCCACACCCCGATTAAGAGCGTGGAAAAGGGATATTAAATTTAATCTCTGCTGCTTTTGCTGAAGGGGAAGGGGGGAGGGAACACAAGGAGAAGTTGGAACCCCCCCCCGGTTCCCCGCTTTGTTCTTCCATCCACCTCCACGACACCGAACACGCTGCAACTTCTCGTGTTTAAGGAGCGAGAAGGTGGCACGAGGAGCGTTCCCAGCACCAGCACAACCCCCCCACCTCAAGCACCGTCGTGCCAGTTTTCCCAGACAACCCCCCACACACTTCCACCCCCAGCAAAACGAATAAAAAAATCCCCACTTTCCAATTCCCAGCGGGAAGCGAGCACCTTTTTCATTTCTTAATTAAAAAGCCACCACGGGGGGGAGGATCCGAGAGGGGATTTTTATTATTATTTTTCTTATTATTCATTTACAACCTCGTCCCCTTTTTAAAGGCAGAGCGATGTGCAGCTAGCTCTGCCAATCATCCCCCTCCGCAACTTCACAATTTTGGGGGGGACGGAAAAAGCCTCTTCCTTTGTCCGCCTCGTTTACCCGCGGGGCAGCAACAACAGCGCGGGAGGAGGGGGGGGGGAATGAAATGAAAAAGGGGAAGAACAAACAAACAAAAATAATAATAAAAAAGGAATGTGTGTGTAGGGGGGGGGTAGAAAACCATCTCCCTAACTCGGGGAGGGGGGTGGTGGAGCAAGGGATGCGGTTGTGCTGGTGCTGCCCTCGCCCCGCTTGCCACCGGCTTGGGTGGGGTGGGGGTGTTTTTTTGGGGGGTTTTGTGGGTTTTTTTGGCTCGCCGGCGCTCGCTGCAAGTTGCGCGGGGCGCGGGGCTCAGGGCCCCCCGCGCAAGTCGCGCCCCGGGGCGCCCACGGCGGAGCTGCGTGTGCCTAAGCGGAAACGGCTGCCCTTGATGAAGACTAACTGACGTAATTAAGGCAGTTTCTTGTTGCCGAGCTAAAAAGCCAATCCCAACAACATGAAACTACCTAAACCACAGATCAGCTGCACGGAAAGGGGCGGAAGATCCACTCATTTCTGTCAGAGAGGAGGGAAGGAGATAAAGAAAAAAAAAAAAAGAAAAGAGAAAATAAAAGATGGAGAGGGGATGGGGAGAGGCGGCAGAGAGAGGAGACAGAGGAAGGAGGAGGGAAAGGGAGATAGGTAGAGGGAAAGAAAGAAAGAAAGAGAGAAAAAAGGAAAGAAAATTCGCCCCCTTTGTTGCTTTTCTCCGTTCCCCCCCCTCCCCTTTCTCCCCGAAATTGCCATTCCAGCACTGCAACATCCTAAGCGGTCTCCGCCAGAAAATGCTTTGGGGGCTTTGGGGGGGAGAGTGGCGGGGGGGAAGGGGGAAAACAGACCCAAAAAAAACCCCGAAGCGGCATCTTTAATCTCTGCATTAAATCCCTTTTTAATAGACGCGCCATGGGCTGCTCTTCGCACCGGCTGCGATTGAGGCGTTTAACAGGATACAGCTCTAAAATCTTGACTTATTGCGGGCTGCGCTATCTTTCATTGCCAATGTGGCCGCATCCTGACATTATCCCTTTTAAATTGCGCAGATAACTCCTGCTGCAAGCGAGGAAGGCTTCCCTGAGAGCTCTCCACAGACAACCGAGCTGCCACCAGCACTACCACCAAAAAAAAAAAATCATCTCATGCCTACACTGTCCTCAGCATCCTCCTCAGAAAGACACCGCAGTCATCTCCGAAATATATAGGCATCTCTGCACGCACCGAGCCAACATATGCTTTCCAAGTCCTTCAGCCATTCTCCTAGCTCCCCCCTAAAAAAAAAAGCCCAATAATCCGAGAATTCACACCTCTAGACAAGCCTCTATCGTTCACTGAGCCAACTTCACACAAGTAAGTTTCGAGGGAGGAGGTTTTGGGGAGGGGGGGGGTGTTGGGAAATTAAAAAAAAAAAAAAGAAATATATGCGTAATCCTTCCTCAACCATGCATTTTCTCGCCGAAAAATTAGCTGTCAGATGCGCGGAAACCTCTCCCGGCGAGACACACAAAAAAACCTCCTCCTCCTCCTCCAAAGGAAGCCGGAGCTTCAGACGCGTCCGTGAGGCTGCGGCTTCCAAGTGTAGTTGAGCTCGGCTCTGCCGTTTACCTTGGTACAAAAATCCATCCACTTGCGCTCCAGCCGCGCAGCCGGCCGAGAAATCGCCTCTCTTACCTTGCTGCTCCTTCCACTCGCCATCCCCATGTCCCGGTTTTTGGTTTAAAGTGTATATTCCCTTTTAGTGGTGATTCTTCCTCATAGACCACGTAAGGAGCGCGTCTTGCCTCAAAAAGCCCCAAAGCTGGGAGTAGTTGTGCATCCAAAGATTGCTGGTTCAGCTCTGCCTTCCTTCCCTCCTCCACAGTCACCTTTAAATGCATCTTTTACTGCTGCAGCACATTATATTTGCAGATCATAAAATCCACCTCCAGCGCTTACCAAGACTGTCCTGACATTACTGTTTTATGACCTTGACTTATTGTGGTCACCTGGATAATATTTAAATCAACGTTATGGTCTCTCACTTATATTAAACCCGCTAGGATACTCTCCTGAAAGCCTTAAAAGGATGAGTCCTGAGGAAAAAAAAAAAAAAAAAAAAAAAACTACATGGGAGAGGGGAGGGGGGGAAAAGGAAGTGTTTTTTTAAAAAAAAAAAAAAAAAAAAATACACTTTAAAAAACCCACTTGTACACGGTTCTATGAAATTTATTTTGCTCCTTAAAGGAAGATACATGCAAAGGATAACACATACAGAATATATTTAAATAACACAGCCACGAGAAATGGACTTTTTCATAATAAGATACCAATACTGCTTTATTTTTTTAATTATTTCCCCCCCCCTCCCCTTAAATATACGGTAGATAGTATCACTTTCATTGGGAGAAACTGCATAACTACGGACGTGAGATGTTCCCACTGCAACTTTAATTTACAGACACTTATATGAAATCCATCTTTTAGTCATTTTTATTATACAATAGGCAGGCTACACTAGAATATGAAAAGCAAACTTTTGGACGCATCTATTATCCTAAACATAAAATGCATAGAGAAAGGTCCTTCTGGTTTTGTGCTGCACGTAAATAACTTAAAACATTTTATAAGGTGGGTTTGGTTTTTTGTTCTTTTTTTTTTCCTCAACCATCTCCATCTTTATTATACACAGAAACACGGATGCAATATATACCCTCATGCTCAGACCGCTCCATCTTCTCTCTCTACCACCTCAAAAACACCCAGATCACTCGAGGTCCTTTCATTTTTATATTTTTTTTCTCTCTTTTTTTTTTTTTTTCCGCCTTTATAACCCAAAGGGGGAGGGGGTGAGGCGAGGGGGGGGGGATTAAAATAAAACAAACCCTCCAAACTGCACGGGGGGTTGGGTGGATTTTGAGGGGTGGGGGGTGGGTTTTTTTGTGGGTTTTTTTTCCTCCCTATCACCCCTCTCGCTCCTCGGGGTGGCGACGAGGGTGGGGTTGCTTGGAGCTCGCTCAGGTGAAATTAAAATTGGAAGTCAGTTCGCGGATTCGGTTCTCCCTGTTCATTTTCTTGAGTTTCATCCTGCGGTTCTGAAACCAGATTTTGACTTGTCTGTCTGTCAGGTTTATGCTCTTACTAATCTCCAGGCGGCGCTCACGGGTCAAGTACATATTGAACAAGAATTCCTTCTCCAGCTCCAGCGTCTGGTGCTTGGTGTAAGGACACCTTTTCTTTCTTCCGCTCTTTGCTGTCAGCCAATTTCCTGTAGTGTTTTCTGCCTTTATATCCTCTGTTGTAAAAATAACAGCGTTACATAAGCACCCGCGGAAATGGGAAAAAGAGAACTTACCCCCCGACGGCGGCTTCGTGGTGGGAGTGGGGGGGAGAGAGAGAGGGGAAAGAATAATTACAAATAGAGATGTATGTTGAATTTTTTTATAATTATTATTTTTATTATTATTATTTAAAGGAGAAGGCGTTTGCCTCTGGGCGAAATTAAAAATAATAATAGTAGTAATAATAATAATAATAATAATAATAATAGTAAAAATAGGAGCTGGGCCGCCTGGCTCGCCTGCGGGTTTTGGGGAGGGCAGAGCAGGTTTGGAGGAGGTAAAAGGGGGGTGATTTCAACCTGGGTGTAAAGCGGTGGTAGCAGCGAGCACCTCCACCCTCCCAGCAGCGCAGAAACCGCGGCGGGGGCTGCGGAATTAGCGCGGGGGGTGAATCTCTTCGGGCTTCAAAACACCCGCAGCTTGAAAATCCTCAGCGATGCGGATTTAGAGGGGTGGGCTCCGCAGCTCTGGGGGCTTCCCCAACTCTTTGTCACCCCCAAAGAAAAGCCCCTTCTATTATTTAGGGTTTTTAATGAACCGCAGAGGTTGAAATAGTCGCCTGTTTGGGTTATTTTTTGGGGGAAAATAATTAATTTTTACGCTCCTGGAGATCGACCCCCCAACCTCGAACAGCCTTTTCCGTCAGGTATATTTTTCTCGAGCCGGGGGTTTGTATGAAATACCTTTGCCTTTTTGCGAGCTGCGCGGGCACAGAGAGGTAAATTCGGAGGTAATCGCAACCCCCACGGGCTCTCCTCGCTCTCCACACCCGCACCCAAATACGCTTCGGGAAGGCAAACGCATTTCACACGTACGTAAATAAACACCAGCGAATACTTGGGCTTTGAATTTGGTCATGAGGAACCTCCCGGCACCAGCGGCCGGCCAAGATTTCAGCCTGAACCGGAGGAAAAAGCGAAGCGAATCCCGTAGCGACTCCTCGGCACCGAATTCGGGCGATTCGAAGCAAAAAAACCCCTCGATTTAAGCACCTTCAAAATTTTGCCCCAAGCGGAGGCGCTTTCGCCTTGAATGCTCCCAAACCTTGGAAATCCCCTTGAAGGGCTCGCACCCTTCCCCCCCAAAAAAGCCGGTGTGACACCACAAAGGTCTCTTAACCTTCTGCAGAACAAACAAACAAAAAAAATTCGGGTTCGACCACAAACGAAAATTGCGGCTATCGAAGGTTTTTAAAGGAAGCGACAGAAACAGAGAGGAAGCAAAATCCGCCCCAAATTGGCTCGGACCACTCGAAACCACCTCAAACAACGCGAAATATCCTTTAAAACGCGAAAATATTTCCCCTCAAACCTGGGCAGTGCCGCCTTTCTCCGCGCATCCATTTTAAATTTAACATCTGAAGCCAAAGAAAGCCTTTATCTCTATTTATTGGTTTTTTCCCTTTATTTCCGCCCATATCGCAAATCCCAACCCGAAATAACCTTTCTTTCGGGGTTAACTCCCACCAAAACCTCTCTTGGCGTGGGCATTGGAGGCGCTTTGTGCAGATTAAGTTTGCAGGGGTTTTGATAACCTTGACTTTGCTTTTTTTTTTTTTTTTCTTTCCTTTGTGTGGAATCGGAGCTGAGCTGTCAGATAATATCATTTCCCTTTGAGGGAGGGATGGGATTCCAAGCAAAAAATAAAATAAAATAAAAAGGAAAATAATAATTAAAAAAAAAAATTACTAAAGGGGTGGTGTGTGTGTAGGGGAGGGGAGAACGAAGCCTTTCTGGGCTCTGCTTTCATCAAGGCCAATTTGAAGGGGGAGGAACGCCAGAGGACAGGTTTTGGTGGTGCCACACACCCGAGGCGTGTGCGTGGGGGTCCACACACGACCCTCACGCGTGAACATCCACCAGCAGAGCCCCCAGCCAGGCTCCTGCTCTGGAGCCCTAATTATAGCCCAGCCTCTGACACACGGCGGAGATTTTAATCCACACACCACAGGCAAACCCTCGGGCTCGGGGCCGAGCGGGATTTTCTGAGCAACTTTTTCTCGCCTCGGGAAATTCAATCCATCCCTCCGCATGATCCGCACCCCTCGACCTGCGAGAAGGACCCCGAACTCCCCCTCCCACCCCCTCGAGCTTCGAAAACCGGGAGAGGAACAAACCCCCGAATATTGCCAGATTTCAAGCCATGCGCCATTCTCTCCAGCGAAAATAAATAATAAAATAAATAAATAATAAAAAAACCAAAACCGCCTCGGTTCGGAAAATGCCAGACTTAAAACATCTGCTCAACACACAGAAAACATTTTTGCCTCCGCAAACAAGACCTCAATCCGCCAGGAATAAAAATAAATAAATATATATTTTTAAAAGCGCTCTTTTTTTCTTTTTTTTTTTTCTTTTTTTTCCCCCCCCTCTCCGAGTCTCCCCACGAGCTTTCCAGCCCCCTGAAAGGAGCCCGGAGCTCGGGAGCTGCAAATTCCACTCCAGGCATTTTCATTTTCATTTTTCTTCCCCCACCCACCCCCGCGCTTTTAACACCGAGCAAAGCCAAAGACGACAAAATTTCCCCTTCTGTTTGCACGGGCAACCATATGAAAAGGAAGGGGGGTGCTAAAAATCGGGGTTCATCCGCCTTAAAACACAACACCTCCTTTCCAACAGCCCCTCCAGCAGCGAACAAACCCCAAAGTCTCCGCGATTTCCAAGCGAAACCACTTCATCTCTTCGCATTTCGCGGCCGGGATTGCAAAGACCAAATTTCTTTCTCTTTTCTTTTTTTTTTTTTTTCATAATAAAGCAGATTTTTCTCCACACAAACAGCGAGTTCTCATCCAGCTCTCTGCTCCCCTTTTCTCGCTTTATATACACGCACACACACACATATATTTAACATTTTAAGAACATCTTTGCCCCCACCAAAGACAGCAACAACGCGCAACATTTCAACGCCCGATTTCTGCGGGAGGAGAGAAGTTGGCGGGGCAGAGAGCGCACAGCTGCATATTCGCATTTCTCCCGCTCTTCTCAGCTGCGGATGATTACCAATCACCGAACCGAGCTCCCGATAATGAATGAACGAGCGTTCCCCTTACCTTTCGCTTCACTGTCAGAATTGTCAGTGCTGGTGTCAGTGTTTTTATTCAGCTCCTTCTCTGCCTCCGAAGGACTTATTTTGGGCGCGGGGGCGCTTTTTTCTGTTTTAATGATGTCGTTCGCGGACGTGTTCTGAGGATTATCTGACGTTTTTGTGTTTTCGGGGAAACTCACTTTAGCCACCGGGGGCGGCGGCGGAGGAGGAGGTGGTGGAGGTGGTGGAGGTGGTGCTGGTGCCGGTGCCGCCGGTTCCAGATGCTCGCTCCTTGGGTTCAGGCTCGCCCTGGCTTCAAAACTTGCCTCAAACTCACTGGGATTGCTGCAGTTGGACGTCTTCTCCATGGAGGGGTAACCTTGGCTGGCTCGGTAGTAGCTGGGAACGGGGACTTCATGGTCATTTAGGCAAGACTCAGGCATTTGGTTGGGGTAGAGGGCTGTCTCTGGGGCGTTTTTGGCCCTTTTCTCAGCGTTATACATGCAGCAAACATTCTCCTCCTTGACATTGGTGGGGAAGGAGCAGGACGGGAGCTGCCTCGCAACAGGTTGCTCGATCCTGTACGCGGTTTTGGGGTCACACCAAGTGTCTAGCTGAGAAAGGTAAGATGGATAGGTGCTGAGAGACAAGGCAGCGCTATTCACCTCGTCCCTTTTGGAAAGAGACGGGAGGATTCCACAGTTCCTCATGACTCCGCAGCTGAAATCGCTCCCAGGCTGCATGTACATCCCTTGGCTGGAGGAATAATTCTCCCCTCTACAGGTACCGGCCAACGAGTCCATCAAAAACGAGTTGGAAGTCACATTGTTGGGACATGACATTTTCAGAGAGGGTTTTTAAGGAGGAATACTCCAGCCAGGGGCTGACATCTTTTTTTTAGGGGGAAAAAATATCAAGCAACCATAATTATCCACGCATCGCTCTCCCCCCCTCCACCCCCCCACGTGATGCCCAGGCCAATGAGGATTGAAAATGGCCTTGATGATTCAGACGGGGACGACGTCACGGGGGTCAAGTTGTCGCGACCGGGAGCGGCATCGTGGAGCAACAGCGACATCTGCCCGCGCCGGGCCGGGACCTTCACGTTGAACAAAGGCAGAGCCCCCCCCTGCGCCCCTGCTCCCCTCCCGCCCGTTTGTTTACCAACGGAGCCACGCGTGGCAAAAAAAGGGGGGCGAAGGAAAAGGGAGGGGGGAGGTAAAAAGAAAACAAAAAAAATAAAGACGATTTTAAGCAAAAAAAAAAAATATATATATGTATGTCTTTTAAAAATTCAGCGAGAAACGGGTAAAATTGAAATTTAAAAAAAAAATAAATCAGCGCCCCCCATCCTTTTTTTCCGACTGGAAATCCTCTTTTCTTTTTTTTTTTTTTTTCTCCCACAAAAAAACCCATTGTGGTTTTTAATTATTGCTTCCCAAGCAGCGACCCCTTCCCTCCTCCTCCTCCTCCTCCTCCTCCCCTTCTCCTTCCTCCGCTCGGCTGCTCCTTCCTCCCCCTCCCGAGCCAGGCTGGGCACGGAGAAGCTCCGGGGCTGAACCGGCTGCGGCGCCGCCGCTTCTCGCCCTTATTTTTATTTTTAATTCCTATTAAAAATGGGTTTAGGGGGGCTGGATGGGGTTTGGGGGACGTGCTTTGCTTTTGCTGTTTCGAAAAAGGTGGCAGAAGAGAAGAAGGGCGGGGGGCGAGGGGGGGCTGGAGGGTGAGGAAGAAAATTGGGGAATAATTGAAATACCCTTCAGCCAGGCTTTTCCCGAAACCCCGAAGCTCCTTGGAGCAGGTTGGACATTTCCCAAGCAGCTTTCTTAATGAAGAAAAAGGCGGTGAAATCCTACCTTTGCTTTGTTTTCCTTTTTTTTTTTTTTAATATATATATATTTTTCCCCCCCTTTCCCCGCAGCGAAGCAGCTTCGACTTCCCCGCCTCTGAGAAAACAGCTTTTTTTAATTATCCACTTTCATTCCCCAACTGTCTTAAGTTTCTGGGCTAAAATGGCATGTGTGGTGTGTGCAGGGAGAGAGAGAGGGGGAATAAAAAAAAAGAAACCCTCTTGGAGGAGAAAAAAAAAGGGGTCGGATTTGGGAAAGGGCAGCAACTTTCAGACGGTGAATTGCAAGGGAGCGGTGGTGTGGTGGGTTTGCTCCTGTCTGTCTGTCTGTCTGTCTCTGCTCTGCTCCCTCTTTCTCTTCGGGATTTATCTACAAAGGAAAGAAAAAAAAAAAATCCCAATCCTCCAACCTGGGACTCGCTGATATCAGGCAAATAAATACCTTCCCACACCGAAACTTTCAGGATTCGCTGCTGGTTTATTTGATTTGTTTGGGTTTTTTTTCCCCCATTTATTTCCAGCAGTGATTTCCCGAACAAAGTTACTTTTTTCTCTCCAATTTCCGCGGCGAAATTCGCTGCGATGGCAGCTCGAGTTGTTGTGGTGGTGGTGGTGGTTGTTCTTTCCTTTTCAGTTTTTAAATCTCCGAGCGAGGTTTGATTGCCTCGAATAGGTCGGGAATTCGTGGTTCCCGCTCTTCCCAACCCCTCCCAACTTTATTTTCTTTATTATTTCCAAGTCGTACCCTAATTAAGACCGATGGGCTTTTTCCATCCTTTTCCACCGGCGCTTTGCAGTGGTTGGGGGTGAACTCTGGTTTTAGGTTGAAACCTTGGCGAATAAATAAATAAAATGCGAGATGGTCGGGAATTTCAAGATCATTACAGTTAGAAAGACACGGGTTCAGAGTCACTTTCAAGGGAAACAAAAAGAAAACGCCACCTTTCCTTTAAAAAAAAAAAACACAACAGGCGAGGGGGGGAGAATAAGAAGAAAGGGGGGAAAAAAGAAAAATAAGGGAGAAAAGCAAAAGAAAGGACAAAGGGGGAAAAAAGGAAAATAAAATGGAGGGGGGAGGAAAGAAGGTGAAGGAAAAAAAAAGAAAGGGCTCAAAATCGCGGGAGGGAAAAAAAAAGTACATTGGGACAGAGAAAGTGGAACTTGACCGTTTGGGGTGATTTGTAACGGTTTAGAGTAAAGTCCTACTTAAATATTCTCACGTCTGCAAACCTGTTTTCCCAAAGATTTTCAAAAGCGGGGCTGTAAAATTCCCCTGGACTTAACTTTCCAGGGGCTTTGCGGGTCTTCTCTCCGCACCAAGCGGGACGAATTTCTGTATCTTAGGCCGAAAAAAAAGCCTAAAAGTGCGTATTTCCTAATTCGTGTGTCCCCCCTGCCCGGGAAAAGCCTTTTCGAAGGCTTCAGACGCCATTTGGTTCCCCTTGGAAAGCTATTTGCGACTTTATTGCCTCTATTTGTGTTATCTGCATAGGTCTTTTTAAAACAGTTTGATAGAAATCGTTCGCTTTTATGATATCCAACGAAAATTCCACCGTAATATTTATAAGCAAAGAATAAAACTTTAGTGCGGGGAGCCAATATTTTCTCATTTATAGGTGATGAAATTAAAGACCAACGCGATTTTTTTTTTTTTTTTAGTGTATTGCGGTTTTTATCCCCTACACCCCTCAAGTTTTAATTTTATTTTTTTTTAATCCCCCCTTATTTTCTACTTTATTTTCTCAGATGATGTGGAGGCCCAATAATTTACGCCGCTCGGTCGAAGAGTTACACGCGTGTATTTTTGGGGGACGCCAAAATTCGACCTCACGGTTTCCTGTGTTGTCTCTCTCCGGATTAAACAGGTTTTCCTGAGTTGTTTTTTTTTATTTTTCCCAAAACCCCCTCGTTCTGGTGTTTCTCTCGCCGGAGGAGACACACGGAAGGACCGCGCGGATTTTTTTGGTCACATCAAACGTGACGTTAAACAACCTGAATTTGCTTCTCCAAAGAGAACCGGGCGCTCCACGAGAGCGTCTCGAGAGAAACTCCCCGTCCAGGTCGGTGGAGAGAGAGGAGGGGTGGGTGGGAAAACCTGGAAACCTCATCTTTTATGAACGTGTAAACGTTGCGAGTGTAAAATAAAGATTTACACCGTTCGCAGGCGTTTTGTCGACCTGGTTTCGCCAGCACGAATGTTGGAAGGGTTTCGAGCCTCTTGTCGCCGCTTCCTCATCAGCATCTTGGCCTCAGAAGGGATGAGTAAACATAAAATCAGATTTTTCACGAAAATACGAGGTGAAGATATCGCTGGAAACTTCACCGTGAGACGTTTTTGGCCCACGGGAAAAAAAAATAAAAAAAAAGGGAAAAGTTGGCATTAGGAAGCAGCACAGAGACGTCTCCGGGAGAGCGAATATTGTTTAAAGTTAAAAATAATTAGAAGTATGATAAACACGGGTCATTAATGGGGAGAGGAATAAAATTCATCAGCCTAAGTGGAACCCCCGTTGGGAAAAATGCTTTCGTCTAATTACAGAAAATAAATACGAACAAAACGCTATTAAAACTTAAAAGGAGGGGAGCCCGCCCGTGGGAAGGACTTTAATAACCCACTTGGAATTTTACACACTTGGAGAGGGGGGATCCGTGTCCCTCCCAACCCACGCGGTTCCCGGGGGATCTGCTCCCCACGCGTGGCTCCAACCTGGGCCTGGTGGGCCGTTTTTTACCCAATAAACTCGGAGCCAAAAAAAACTTGGGGGGGTTTGGAGGGGGTTGCCCTTCCTTGTTCTCTCCCCCCCGGGCCGGGGGGTGTGTGGGGGGGTTGTCCCCTCGTCCTGTCATCGTCCCCAGCGCCACAAACAGAGCGATTGCCCCCCAAAAAACCTGCCCAAAAATCAGCGCTGGGAAGTTTTGGATGGGGATGGAATGGGGGGGGGGGGAGAGAAGAGACGCCAAAACCCCCCCCTCTCCCCTCCTCCTGCCCGTCACCCCGAGGAGTATATAAATGTCTACAATTTCCAAGACAAAGCATCGCTCGGACTTCCCCGGAATATTTTACCTGTCCCCCCCTTTTCAATCTAATTATTTAACCGTGAGTTATGTGGGGAGAGAGCGCTTCTCCTGCCCATTGTATTTTTTAACCAAGTTTTCGTACGTGGTGGTTTTTTTTTTTTTTACGACAAACATTCATTTTTTTCGCTGCGAGGAAGTATTTGGTAGCAAGGCTTTAATGATTACCTTAAATTTGTATTTCTGCCCGGTATTATGCCCCGTGTTGTAGCGGAAATAATTCTGATTTATGACAAAGTACACTGGAGTACAATAACAGCGATGCAAAAATAAAACCCACGCCTTTATATGTTGGCTTAGAAACTGTAAACTATCACCACAAGAAATCTATCAAACTTTACAATCCCTCTTACCCCGCTTCCTTCTTTCGGAGTAACTTAAGTCAAAAGAATTATGGAATGATATTATGTTCCTCGAGGTGGTGTTGAAAAAAACGGTGTCCAAGTTTTTCTACCCCCAACGTAGCACCCAAGTCCTGGATGGAGTTTGGACCCTTTTTTCTTTTTTTTAAATTTTATTTTTTATTTTCCTTTCCCCCCTTTGATCACGCGGGAGAATTTGGGAAGCGTAATTCATAAAGGAGCCAAGAGCAAGGCGGGGTGACACGGGGATTTTGGGGGAGTTTATTCAGCGCCGAAAACGTTTCCTTTAATTTTTCCAGCGCGTTAACGAACTCAGATATTACACACACACCTCCAAAAAAAAAATAAAGAAGAGAAGAAAAGGGAAAAAAAGGATTTTTTTTTTGTTTTTTCTTTCTAGCAGGGGTGGAGAAATTCGTGTGGGAGCTCTGGGAATGTGGATTATTGCAAAATTTAAGTTGGTTTCCTATATAGACACATATATATACATATTAAGTTGCGATTTTTAAGGTGCAAAATAACCCAGCGGCGGGTATTTGGAGGAGTCTCTTTTATAAAGCGT